AGGGAGGCTCCCAGGGAGCATCCTTACCAGATGAACCACCTCAACTGGCTCCTCTGGATGTGGAGGAGCAGTGGTTCTACTCTGACTCTCTCCTGATGACTGAACTTCTCACCCTGTCTCTAAGGGAGAGTCCAGCTCTGCAGAGGAAACTCATTTCAACCTCCTGGATCCACAATCTCATTCTTTCAGTCTCTACCAGAGTTCATGACCAGAGGTGAGGGGAGGAACGTAGACTGACCTGTAAACAGAGAGCTTTGTCTTACAGCTCAGCTCCCATTTCACCACAACGGACCGGCACAGAGTCCACAATACTGCAGACACTGCACCAATCCATCTGTCAATGCTCCATTCTTCCCTCACTTGTGAACAAACCTCCGAGATACTTGAACTCCTTCATTTGAGGCAGAACCTCATCCTCTGAAGAGAGCAATCCACACTTTTCTGAATGAGGACCATGACCTCAGATCTGGAGGTGCTGGTTCTCATCCCAGCTGCTTCACACTCAGCTGAGAACTGCTCCAGTGAGAGCTGAAGATCACTGCACTATGACACCAACAGGACCACATCATCTGCAAAGAGCAGAGGTGAATCCTGACCCTAACTCCCATGACCCCTCGAGGACCCTAGTGAGGGTAAAGAGCTGGTCCAGTGTTCCACGGCCAGGACAGAACCCACATCGTTCCTCCTGGATCTGAGGTTCGACCAACGATCGGACCCAGTTCTCCAGCACCCCTGAATAGACCTTACCAGGGAGGCTAAGGAGAGTGATGCCCCTATAATTGGAGCACACCCTCCAGTCCCCCTTTTTGAAGAGGGGAACCACCACCCCAGTCTGCCAGTCCAGTGGCACTGCCCCCAATGTCCACGCAACGTTGCAAAGACGTGTCAGCCAAGACAGCCCCACAACATCCAGCCTTAAGGATGAATCTCATCCACTCCCGGAGCCCTGCCGCCTCGGAGATTTAACGACCTCAGTGACCTCAGCCACAGTTATGGACAGATCAACCCCAAAGTCCCCCGACTCTGCTTCCTCCATGGAAGACGTGCTGGTGGGATTGAGAAGGTCCGAGAAGTGTTCCTTCTACCTCCCGACGACATCAGTGAATAAAGTTTTACAGACATTCAGGTAAATGTGGTGTGGTAGTATTGAGTCATGCTCAACACTTTCTCTGAGTGTTACCACAACTTGCAGTACGGCAACACTTCAAGCATAAAGTGACAAAGTTTGACCAAAACAGTTACAACTCCTTCCCTCCTTATCGTTAGATTTTAATTCAAAACTGACTTCTTTTTAAGTCTGGGATGAAATTTATGATAATTAGCATTCTTAAAGAAATGCCAGACCTTTAATCAATAACTGTGATCATAAACTCAATGTTTTTACAGTAGATCAAAGCTTCACACGATCAGATCTCACCACAACATCTTATAGGAAGCCATTTTTAATTTATGCACAGAACACAAGCAAACATAAAGAGTTAGCTGCAACTGAACCAGTGAAAGAGCTGAAGGTTTCTAAAAACAAATATCACAGATTATGGGATGGGAGGAAACGGCGCTTGAATGCACCATCCGTAGCTGTTGGCATTCTGCTTTCACAAATTCATCTCCAGCTCCCAAACTAAAGGAAGAGTGAACGCTATCAAAATTCAAAAAACACTTTTTTCTTTGTTTTTTTAGTTTAGTTTTTTTTTTTTTTTTACAAAAAATATATAAAAGGTACAACGACCTATCATAATGTGATGAAATACCTCCAATTAGTTGCCAAAATGCACGTAAAACTGTTTTTTTTTTTAAAAGAACATGTTCTTCAAACACTGGAGACATCGACTAAATGCAGTTAGAAAATCTACAGACGTAGGCGACAAACTTAATTTTCTGTACAAAAACATAATAATAAAAACACAAATGTTACATTTACATTGATAGCTCATACTTTTCTAGCTGCTAAAGAGAAATAAAAATAAAAAAGAAACGTGAACGTTTGACCACGGGCTCGGGCAGGAGTTTACTGCTGCAGTTAATGCTGAACACCACCACGCATCTTCGCTTCGATTTTTAGTTTTAGTCTAATCCGGCGCCCAAGAAGAGCAAACGCTGCTGGAACCCTGGAACGGTCATGCAAAAACTAACCGGAACAACTGAACCAGATGACGTCATGCAAAGCAATTTGTTTTTCTCCGATCGTTACAAACGTCTGTTTTTAGAGGCATCCAAAGGAAGTTGGAGGGAATCTCATTTCCAGCAGTGTCTTTTTGTCCGTCCACATCCGGCGGTCCATTTAGAGTCTGAGCACGGTGAGTTTTCCACGTGCACCCCAAGGCACCTGAGAGAGCGGCGGCTCCCTCCGTTGTTTGTCTTTTCGTCATACGAGCTGCCGTAGAGTCTCGCAGTGGGCCCGTCCCACGCATGGCGCCATGAATCTCAATACGAAGCACAAAGTTTACAGGGGGAGCGGACAACAGGGGGAGCGGACAACAGGGGGAGCGTCTCCGCTCTAGGAGTTTAGGGTTAATAGTCATCGTAGGTGTTGAGGTCGGTGAAGTATGCGTTGGTGTACGTCTTCCCAGCAAGCTGTGGGTTGAAGTACTTGTTCCTTTCTTCCAGAATCAGGTTGTTTTTGTTGAAGGCCTGCAAATAAAAAGTACACATGCATGAAGAGGACAGACAGAAGGCAGTCAGCAGTGTTCTGCAGCAGATGATCAGGGGAGTACTCGGCCCAGATGGTGAAAGTAAATCCAAAAAGAGCAACATAAATCAATGGGAGCTGCTCGCTGAATGAGATGTGCGCTTCACAGAGCAAGGTCAAAGCGTTGGAAAAATGAGAAGTCACCATGAGGCGAAATTATTCGGACGCACATTCGAACGTCCACCTCTGTCATCTCTAATACCCAGCATCAGCAGTTTTTATGGATCTGGACTGTTGCTCCTCCGGGACAACCAAAGCCATAAAAATCGATCAAATGAGCGTTTCTGTTAAACAATGAGGAGCCGTGGGAGCAGCTTCCCTGTCCCTGCGTGACACGGTACACACGGGATGAGCTGCTGACGCCTTGCTCAATACCACATCAGCAATTTGCCAAATAGAGATGGCTGCATATCCAGTGTGATGGAGGAGTGTGATGGGAGTCCCTCAGGGCAGCGTAATTGAGCACTTGATGATGCTGCATTTACAGCTGATGGATGCTTCCGACTAACGCTGATGTGGAACAAGTGCGCCGAGCAAAAACCTCATACGTTCTGCTGCGCTCCCATTAGGTGATTTGCACACAAAGGGAAAGTAATGGAGCCTCCTGCAGCACCGCAGACAGTTCTCCAGCTCTGCAGGTGGGCCATGGCTGCTCTTAAACAGCTGCGCAGCCATGCTTGTAGCATCATCCGCTCTGTCTTTAGATAAACACGTTTAATTGTCTTAAAAATGATTAAGTTTGAGCTTTTGGTGCTGCAGACAGAAGCAGCTGACTTTAAAGTGCCGTTAGTGATAGAGAGGAAGCAGAGGAGGTTGTCACTACAAGGTGAAGAAGCAAAGAACGCCAAGAGTTCTCCTTCTCAAACAAAACATGAAGGACAAACGGAACAAACGACAACATGCAAATGTTTGGGGGGGGGGGGGGGTACACTGCCTTCTCATAAGCCGAGAGGGAGAAGGGAGTCAGTCGTGATGGAGGGATGAAGGAGGTCTGAGCAGAAAACAAAGAAACGACTCCAACCTGCCACACACAGGAAGTGCCACAGGAAGTGGAAGAGCAGGGCACGTTGTGGGGAAGAGGAAGTAGTACTGGCTGGGGTCAAAAAGTTGCTGGGTTAGGGGTCGAGAGGTGGGAACGTTGCAGAGGTTAGTAGAAAATCTCCAGTCCACGCATAGACACCCCCATGTTAGCAGAGAGAGGCTGGTGCATGGCGGGGTCGTCCAGAGGCAAGAGGACTGACACATCTGGCTGCAGGAAGGAGAGGAACGAGCAAGAATCACCCTCAAAGAAATGCTGAGGTCACATTCTGTCTGAGAGGAGGCGAAGGAGATCACATGCACATGGAACTCCAGACAGGGCCTCCTATAACCTGAACATCTGGAAATCTTCTATAACCTGAACATCTGGAAATCTTCTATAACCTGAACATCTGGAAATCTTCTATAACCAGAACATCTGGAAATCTTCTATAACCTGAACATCTGGATATCTTCTATAACCTGAACATCTGGAAATCTTCTATAACCTGAACATCTGTAAATCTTCTATAACCTGAACATCTGTAAATCTACAATAACCTGAACATCTG